AATTGAATTACTCTTGCTATGGATCCTACCTGGACAACTGAGGGATTACACAAACAAATATTTTATTGGCCAATTTTAATTAATACAGATGGGAGCAGCAAAAATGTATACTGATGAAATCCAGATTGTTGTTATATAGTGAGTTATGGGTTCTGAGCAGGTGTAACATTTGTGAATTTACCTTTTATGTTATTTTGTGGCAAAGTACAATGTTATCAACAACATGCTCTTGCCCCCATCTGAGAATATGGCATCATCACATCTAAAATCTGGAAACCACCAATTGTACACCCTTTTGTTATATCGAAATTTAATAATGTATAATTGTATGTATGTTACAAATAAATCAGTTGTTGAAGGGAATCTGGAAATTGCTTGGGTATTTTTGTTTTAAATCGTTGTCTTTCACAGAAATACTCCCACCTGCCCACGTTCACGAAGATTTCTACAACAGAGCGGTAATTATTATGTAAATTACAGACTTTGTGTAAGTTTGTGTTTGACACTTAAATTTGATTTTGCAGAACATCAGTACTCCCCAGAAGAAAATGAAGACTATGTTGCTGATTCTGAAGATGAAGCTACAAAGAACTTTAAAGGACGGGTATGAGTTAATAAATTAATTTATCACAGTGAGACACATATAACACGGATAAATAGTTTAAGGTTGTCTGAAAAATATACATTGGATTTAAACAAAACATTTTCAGGACCCTGTGATGAATATGAGCATTCATGGCATTTTAGTTGTTTTGAGTTTCAACTAAAAATGTGAGAGTAACTGAAACTGTTGGCCAATGCTAGGGAGCTTGCGATTCAAATTTTATGTGTGAGAGACTTTAAGCGCACATATCATCTCACCTGTTGTAGTTTCACCTAAGTCAGCTCTTTCTGGTCAGACTGTTAAAATAAAGCTCAGATTAAACTTAACTTCTAACAGAGCAGTGCTTTCAGTTAGTATCACACCCGCAGGGAATGATGACTAAATACCAATATTATACATAAACTCTGTTGCGTATTTGTGACTCTTGTTTTTTTCTCCCATAGCTTTTTGCTAAACGCTATTGTAAAACCAAGCATGGCACATATGTTCCTACTCTGAGGGAGTATTGGAAACCGTGCACACAGAGGCGCATCCTCCTTGTTCCTTGCAGTAAACGGCGATGACTGGACATTTTAGGGACTCTGACACACCGGTTTGACCACCATTTGACTCGTTACTAAATCAGTAACGTCTGATTTTGCATCATTCTTACATTAGTTTCGTTTGGGTGCTTTCTCATCATGTGGAAAAACAAACTTAAACCTTGCCATATAAAGTCATTTTAAGGATATATGTGTTTAATTTTAATCTTTAATATTTTATTCCCACCTCATCAATCTTAAACTGTAATTTTGTATTCAAATAAAAATATATGTATTTTAGTTTTGTTTATTAGTGTGCTTGTGTTTTGTTGCAATACAATGCAAAGATGCAATTGTTTTGTTATAGATTTGCTCATACAAAACTTATACATTAAATCGTATGGTGGAAAATATAAAATATTAGAAATACATAATTGCATATTTGTTGTAATAAAGCAGTTCAAAGTCGTCCACTCATGCCTCCAGTTACTGTAATTGTCTCTCCTGTGATATATGAAGCTTCAGTGGAACACAAGAAGGCAATCACCCCACCGATTTCCTCTGGGTCTCCAGCTCTGCCAGCAAAAAAAAGTATTAAACACAAGTGGATAGTACTCAGTTACATCTACTTCGGTAACTTCAAAAAAGTACTTTTCTAGCAGCATATATTTACTCCTAATTTTTCTTGAAATAACTACTCTAGAAGTTTTGGTTATTCTTCCCACTAAGTCTACAAGTGACAAAAGCTTGCACTGCTCCTTCAGATATGATTTAGTTTCTCATTTTTGCAAATTTTTCTATCATTTGAAAATACCAGATTTTGTCCATAATTTAATTTATTTAATGTTTTGTCTTTCAAATTACATCACATTCAGATTAGACATCAGATGTTACATCATAGAAGTTATTTTTACTTGAGTAGTAGTTTCCCCAAATATATATTTATTCCTTGTTGAATAATTTCTTGGAGCACTACATTGCACTTGAGTGATATTATTTTGTAGTAACATTACTCTTACTTCAATACAGTTGTATACTCTGATTAATCAGTTTGTCTTAAATAAATGCCTACTAGAACAAAAATTTGCCGCACCTCATATTTTAGAACATTTCTGCTTAACGAAAATGATACCTTTTAATACACAGCTGCCTTTTGAAGTCATCCATTATGTCTTCATTTTGCCACAACTGGAAATCAAAAATTGCAAATATTTATACCGAGAGTTCAAACATACAATGACCCTATAACATCTGTTTGTTCTTACAGCTGAACTGAAGCGTGTTTTGATTATTCCTGGTGCCACACAGTTCACTCGAATGTTACTAGAGGCAAGTTCTGGGGCCAGAACTCGAGTCAGACCGAGCAAGGCTGTTTTACTCACACTGTAAGGACCCAAAGCCTAAAAAATAGGTAGGTTATCGCATCATTTACATAGCATAACTCAGTCATTTTTTTTTCTTGTGAGCTTTAAATCGTTATGTTGTTTTAAGTTAGAAATAACATGCCGGAAGTTGTGTTTTGTTTCATTCACACGTTTCAGTAACCCTTTAATAATACTCTTTCCACAGCTCCAAAGCTCAAAGTGGCCTGTTACACCTTGTGATGTCATGTAACTGTACTTTTCCAGTTAACAGCCACCTTTTACCTTCAGTTCAGTAGAAATTGGAAATTCCAAGGCTGAAATCATCTAAATGGTTCTAGTGATGGTGTATGGGGTTTAAAAATACACTGGAGCACTTCCTGTATAACCACATGACATCACAATTTGGAGCAGAGTGTTTTATGTTTGAGAGAAGAACTCTGCCTAAATATACAGGGTTTGTGTGTTAAACAGTTGTAAAAGAAACAAAACACAACTCCAGATATGTTGTTGATGAGGAAACAACGTTCTAACATGGATTAGAAAATAGTGTAATATGAGCCCTTTAAATGAATTTATTTACCGCCAATGGTTGATATCCAGCTACAGATGAAACAAACACTATATTTCCCCCTCTAAAAACGATGAAAAAGGATTAATATTGCAGTATCTGGTGGTAATTTAGTGCAACATACTCTTGCTTAATACTTACCCACGTTTCTCCATGTGAGGCACCACCAGCTTTGTCAACAAAAAAGATGCTTTCACATTTATGGACAAAATCTACAAAAACAGGCCTCATGAGCTTAATGCACAACATAACTTTAGTCTGTACCTGTACAAGTATTTATTTGTTATTACCTTGTCCCAAACCTCTTCTGTGGAATCCAGTGTATTTCCAAAGAAAGGGTTGACAGCTGCGTTTGATACTAAAATGTCAATGCCACCATATTTTTGAAGAGTCTACATAGTCATGACAGAGAAAAATTAAATTAAATTTCATGAACACCACCTTTGTCCTGAGATATGACATTCAAATCAAATATAGCTCTTACAGGTAACAACTGCAATGCTGATTTATTATTACAAAAACACTGGACTTGATGACCACTTTGTTTATGTTATAATTTAGTGTGTGTTTTCAAGGCAATTATCCACTTAGAAAGCAGAACAAATCTCATTTGGGTTGCCAGATTCAATGCTGAAATCCAGTTGGTTTAAATTTAAAAGGACTCTCTGATCTCAGTCCTCACTACCCCCAGCACCAACAGCCAATCATTAATCAGTGTTACTGCAGTCTCTGCTGCTGCAGTTTATACGGTCTATATACTGAGAATTTTTAAAACTGTAAGGATGCAGGCTAGACAGTTTCTTTTATTTTTTTAATCTGGGGTAATTTTTTTCTCAGTACAAAGAAACATGGGGCCCATTCACAGATCAACATATACACACAGTTGTGGCCCCAAGATAGTGTTTGTGGCCCTACCAGGGGCCTCCAGACTGACCCTATAGTAAAAAAAAAAAAAATCACATTCATATCTTTGGGCAGTGGAAGCAGGACTACAGTGCTTTGGTGAGGCATGAACACTCCAGACAAGCAGATCTAAGTCACAATTGCATCTACTGTTAATAATATTATATATATATATATATATATATATTATATATATATATTATATATATATATATATATATATATATATATATATATATATATATATTTTTTTTTTTTTTTTTTTTTTTTTTTTTTTTACAGTTTGAAGTCAGTTTACAGATGTAAGACTTTGTTGGATCCAGTTTTAGATTTGACTCACCACTTCAATAAGTTTTTCTCTGTCCTCTCCTTTACCCACATTACAAGTGGTACCAGTCACTTGGATGTTCTGTCCCTGAAGCAGGGCCACAGCTCTGTCCACATTGGCCTGGCGTCTGCTGCTCACCACCACATGGGCTCCTTTCTTCCCCAAGGCTTGGGCTGTAGCCAAACCGATCCTAGTGACACACAAGGCTAATTTCAGATATAATTCTCTGCAGTTCATGTTTTCACTTAGTATATCAGCTATTTTATATAACCATAACCCAAGATATTCACTGCATTTCTTCTATGTGAGAATGTGATGTAATATTTATATTTATGCATGTGTGTTTGTTCTTACCCATCTGTCGAGGCAGTGACAATAGCTACCTTTCCTGCAAGAGTGCTGTTAGACATATTTCTTTGGCTAACAACAGGACAAATCCGAAGGCACCTGGAAGCACTTCTGAACATCCCCTAAAAGACAACATAAGCACAGTTTTTCCATATTCTTGGCACCTACTGGAGTGCAAAAGACACTGGGGCAAAGGGTACGTCAGTTAGTTATGGGCAACCAATAAACCAGAAATTTGCAAGTAAACATTTTTGTGGCTTAAAATTAGACTAGTTTACAGATTCCTCTCAAATATAGGCAAACATAAGTGCAAACTACAGCTAAACAGGTTGTAACCTGGTTTTAAATCACAAGCACACACACCAAAGCGTGTTTTTCATTAAAAATGGTTACTTAAAGAGTTTCAAAAAACATACTCTCACCCACTGATAATCGACACCCGATGTGTGAGAAATAAACGTACAAAAGTCGAAAAATTGTAGATTTTGGTATTAAAACTTGAGAAAATGTCGATCAGCCAACCACGGAAGATCGTACATCCCTGTTTCCGTTTATTTCAAAGTAAAAGTTACACAAGAAAAAAATTTTCAGTTAAATTGGTTCTTTCCATAGAATTAATTAATAATATTTATGTGGAATATGGTTATAAAGTATAATACGGTTAGGACAACAAAGCACAAACAAAAGCTTATAGGTTATTTGCTGCAATCATATGGACTTTTTTTGTTTTGTTTTGATACATAACCTATTTGGATATTCCATATGTATAGTTGCTTATGTTGCCTATCAAATAATCTAAAACTTCACATTAATAAATTACTATTAATCACTATATCTCTTGGCCATTTTATGTTTAGTTCATAGATCTCGAACGCAACCTTCAATGGCGAGCCAATCAAGGCGCAGTGATCACTCTACTGAGGAAGTTGCTGCGATATCCATAAAACTGGATTGGTCTAAACTGGTCTAAACCCATGTAGTTTTTGCTGTCATCCAGGCTTATTTGGTTTTATACATCGGCGCACTGCATCAGCCCCTACGAGGGCGGAGATAATTGTGTTGACATCACCGAATCACCGATGATGATTGAACGCCGATGGTCGCAGATTTTCACGCCTCAAATGAAGTGATTTTGCTATCCTGGAGTATATCTCGATGCCGAGTCAGCCAGTTATACAAAAGACAAGGTAAATACATTCTAAAACCCGTGTGGATGTTGGCGGTCGCTGATTTACAAATCGGATTTATCTGCCTCAAGCTGGTGGCGCTATTGTTGTTTTGAGTTTCTTTTTTGCAACCCCTTGTGGGCGAAGAATACCAAGGTTTCGATCTGTATTCATATGCTTTTGATTGATCACTATACATTAGTAACTGTGTTTAAAGCCAGGCAAAATGCTGAATATGTAACTTGTCTCTTGAACATTGTTGTTGCAAACTCGACTCTGTGACACGTTAACGATTTTGATGGGCTCTCACAGTCACAAAGCTAAGCTAACATTAGCCTTCACAGAATTCTTTTCACGTATTTTACGCTTGATGGGCGTGGAATATTGGCACAGGTGTTAATAACCCAAAAGTGATCTCGAAGACGCAGGCATTGGTGTTCGGGATCGTACAGTGGAGGTGCTAAAGTATTGTCTTTGTGCATACAGGATCCCAAATGAAAGGACATTGGTGTTGAAGCTCTACGATGTATCGACCCCAGATGCAGCTGTGCCCATATAACGCTCACAGAAGTCCGTGAGGAGCTAAAGGCGACCTAAATGGATTATCCAGACTAACCACGACTGGAGATAGTTTCTATTTAATATAACAATAATAATCTCTGCAACCATGTCTGTCTCTGTAAGTACATCTTTTTGCTATTTAATTACACTCAGCAAGTATTACGTTCTCATTTGGTTTAATAGTTTGGTCAGTTACAAAATAATAATGCTTGCAATCAATGCATAGACAACCAATCTACTGTATCTTCCACGTTTCCTCCTCACTTTGCCCCATTACTGTTTCAAGGGGTCCCACATGGCTGAGACTTTAGTTGTCCCCAGGGGGTTGGTTTAGAAAATGAAAGGGGGACTGACTCTTTGGCTTTAGGTTGGCAATTAAACTCCCCACAGAGAGGGACAGATGTGCCCCCGGCCCCTCCCCCCGCTCTGGTTGAGCTCATTACCATTAAACCATGTCCATTCGATCATTGATCTGTTGTAACTGCTCATCTTTTTCTCCACTTCATGACTGGCAGATACAGGATTCATTATAATTGTCAGTCCATTTCTATTTCAAGTCTGCACTGTTCTCTATTTAGCTGCTTTCCACTTAAGAGTACAAAAAGTTTCCCTGTATTATTCAGCCTGCTTTCCAAAGCCCTGACAATCACTTGTTTCAGCCTCTCGCTCATGTCATTACCATATCAATGATCTTGTTTGTGGCTTCTTGTCTCTTAATAAACATTCATTTCATTGAGTCACTGCTTTTTAAGCCTTTTTCCTGTGACCATTTGCTGAGCTTTTTATTTCTCTCCTCCTTGCAGACTGTATTGGCAAAGGCCTTATTTGACAACACAGCAGAGAGCCCGGAGGAGTTAGCATTCCGTAAGGGGGACATCTTGATGGTCCTGGAGCAGGAGCAGGCTGGTGGTCCTGGCTGGTGGCTTTGCTCTCTACATGGACGACAGGGTATTGCGCCTGCCAATCGCCTTCGCCTTTTGCAAACTGCCCCAGCCCCAGGCTCAGACCTTCATTGTGGTTCTAGTGAAGACTCTGTTTATCTGTCACCCGGTCCTGCGTTGGCCCGAGTTGGAGTCAGCAGTAGTGCAGATGATATAGACGGAGTGTACCGCTCTCCACCAGCTGTGGGTGAAGGACGACCTGGAGAACTCCGCAGAACTGAAGGAGGACGCCCACGTTCTCACTCAAGTTCTGGGACAAGGCCCAGACCCGAGTGGGACATTGGTGTAGCCGGGCGTCCTCGCTCACCTTCTTTAAGAGGAAGAGGAACCGACATATCTGGGACACTTTATCAAACTCCAGTGAATTCACTACCTGCAGCTCAGCATGTAAAGCAGCCAGGTGTTTTGACCTCAGAGTCTGTTTACCTCAATCCCAGTGGAGTTTCACGGTCCAGAGATGATACACAAGATAATACTTATTTAGTGCCCAGAGAAACTGTTAACGATGACTGCTACTTGGTACCTAAAGGTACTCCCCTTGCAGGGGATGATGTTTACCAAACACCAACTGGAGGAATTATTTCAAATGGATCCTCTCCTCAGCCCAAATTGGGTCAAGATGCACCCGGATTCTATCAGACCCCAAACCCTGTTGGTACTAACTCTCAAAGGACTCACCCATCACTTGTCCAATCATCGCCCAAATGTCTGCTAAAGGGACCTGTTGGGAAGCCAGGTCAACGTGGTTCTCCTTTACTTGTCAGAGCAGGACAGGGCAGGCGTCCTGGATCACCTAATTCTGCCCGTAAGCCCCCTCCTCCAGCCCCTCCAGTAAGAGGAGTCACAAGGAAAGATGTACAACAGTCATCTTTACCATCAGCTCATTCTAATTCTTCAGAGAAAGCCTCATCACAGCATGTAGAAAAACAGAAAGTCACTGCTAACAGAGAAGAGACAATCAGCAATGGCAAAGAGAAAAGCACCAGTGTACAAAGCATTAAAGGACAAATGTCAGACAACGTAGGCAATGACCAGGTAAAGTGCTTCCTACTATTTGCTGATACATTTAAAGGAGTCATATTATGCAAAATCTACTTTAATTAAATCTATCTGTAACTTTTAACTATGTTGGAATTGTTTTCCTTAATCATTTTCAATTATTGTTGTTGTATCATACCCACTTTGGCTTAAAAGAACAAAATCCAATGCTCTCTATTGTGAGCTGTTTGTTATCCATAGATGTGGGCTGTCAGAATGGTCTGACAAAGCCGCACGTTGTTGTGATGGTGTTACGGTGACAGTACATAAAGGGACAGGCATAAATCAGTGCTGCATTTTTTAAAGTTGGCCAACTTGTCTCTTATTTTAAGTTTTAGATGAATTGGAACTGTCTAAAATATAAAACAATGATTGGGTGTCATAACTATAACACAAGCATAATATGTCTTCATTAATATTCTTTCCACAAAATGATCTGCTAGTTTAAATGGAACATAAAAATTGGATGTGTACATATGTTTGATTTGATATAAGAAACTTTTGTCATCAAAGGTTTATGATACTCCTCCAAGTGGAAGGTGGCAGCGCACAGCACGCTCCTCTCTCCCTGAAGATGACGGCATCTATAATACTCCCCGCAGTGTGCCACCACAAAGTGACTCAGAACTGGAGGTAAAAATTAAAAGAAATCTGTCTTTTTAAAATAACCTGTATTTAGGGAACCTGTATTTTTCTCTTTTTATCTGTTGACAAAACACATGTATTTTCTTTTTTTAGATGCAACAGTAATATTTAGTAGATAAACAAAAACTTTTTGCTTGAGGATTTTTTATTTATTCATTTTTACAACAGTAAAAAGGGACTAGGAGGTGACAGCCTCATGTCTGTACATGTGGCAGGCAAAGATGACAATCTAAAAAAACATCTCTCAAGATCTTTCTGCTACCATCCTTCTTTTTCCCTGCCCCCTGCTCCAAGGCAAAGCCACACCTGTCTCTTTGGGAGCCTGTCTATCCAGTCCAAGTGCTGCTGCTATTTTCTCTCTTTCACACCCATCTGTTAGGGCCATGCCAAGGCCATATTGCCACCACTAACACAAGTACCACCCTGCCCCCAATGAATTCCTTCTTGTCAGTTGACCACATCTGCCAGATGAAGTACTCTTTTCTTTTACCTCTCTGTAATTACTGTAAACTGCATATTATGCTGTGGCCCACTTTTTGGTGACTGCTTATTTCATTTCAGATTAAATGTACATGGATTTGAATCACTGGACCAAAGACTTTAATCTTCCTCCCCTAACATGCCTCTACTCCCTGACCTCTGCCCAATGGCACAAAAATACAGAAATCATTTTTCATAAACTGACTTGACTGAACTTTTTTTTAAATTTATATCAGATGGCTTAAAGGTGCATTGTGGAACTTTTCCGGTGGAGGGTCTGCCACCTGCTTGTTTCTATAGAGATGTTATTGCTCTGCCTGGAATGTCACACTGTATGACATTAAACAACTCTTCCTTACATTTATTCAATTACAGGGGGTTTATAGGTCAAAAATACCTAGAAAAACAGGCATTCTGACTGTGAGTGGGGTTGACTCTCCATAGATCTGACCTGTAACTTGGTCTGTTTTGGTCTCCATTAAGATAGAAAGGTTTAATACCATACTGTGAAACATTCCAGACAAAGTAATAACATTTCCATGGAAAAAAACATTTAACGGACCCTCCACCAGTAAAGTAAAACAATGCTCTTACTCTCAAATGAATGATAAAATATATTTCTCCATTACAGGTTTATGATGTCCCAACAATCACTCTGAATGTGTCGACTTCAGATGTTCAGCAGACGGGCGCAGTACCGGATGAGGGTGATGATGGAGTGTACAGTGTCCCCACTCTCCCAGGCATCCCTTTAGGCCAGGAGGACCCATCTTGTACTGTAGTTTCTGTGGAGGAGGTTTTGCGCAGAGCTTCTGAAAAACGAGCGAGTGGTGGAGACTCCTCTGAGCCTGACTGTGGCATCTATGACATGCCTGCATTAACAGCTGAAGTCCTTCCTCTCTCCTCCTCTTCCTCCTCCACTTCTACTCGCAGGCTCTCTGTTTCTAGCAATGGGTCAGGTGACGTGCAATGGAAGATTTGTTTGTCGAGCCTTGTGCATTCACTTTTAACTACAGTGGCTTGTTCTCCATCAACTCTTCCATCGCGAGACCTGGCCACTTCTTTGGCAGAAATTTTGTCCACATGGAAGGCCAGTCACAGCAGTGATCCTCCACCCCCTCTTCAACAGGCTTGGGCCCGTTTATCAGACCTTTTGCCTGCATTGTCAGCGATTGGAAATGCACCTCCATCTGAAGGCCTCCTCACTCTGGTTCAGCGGTCTCTTGAAGAAAGCTCCCTTCTCTTACAAGTACAAAGTCGTCCTCGTTTGCCGTCCCAAGAATCCCTTTCTCGGCGTCCGTTACCTGCCCTACCAGTGGCAGAGGGGGTATCTTCTGTTGGGATGGGCCCTCGTAAAGGCAGCTGGATACAGGAGCGACCTCTGCCTCCAACCCCACAGCCTAAGTTTCCCTTGCTACCTTCTCAGTCCACAGTGACTGTGACTGTGGGCTCCAGTGATGGAGAAGATGATCCCAGTAATGAGTATGCAGGAATCGGCTTGACTCCTATTCCTGCCCCAATACCCACTGGAGACAGTGTGGGATATGTCAAACTTCAGGTAATTTTGTAAAATTAAGATTTTGCTTTTACTTCATTTTACTCCAAATAAAAAACATGCCTGTTTTTTCTTAAGGGTAAACCTGACCTTCCTCCAAATACACTGGCTGAAAATGGACACACCATCAATGCAGAAACAAGGGTAAAATAACTTATTCCATTCATTAGCTGTTGTGACTATAGGCTTTAGGTATATTTTTCTGTTATAATTTAGTATAATAATTAGCTTTAACATTTTCAGTACTCATTTGCTGCCTGTTGTCTTGTGTTTTTTTTCTCCAGCGAACATTTCTTGCTGGATGCCATGGTTACGCCATTTGGCTGCCAACAATTGGTCACTTGTAAATCGTCACAATCTTTCCTTACATAGAAGGGGGCTACAGAACTACAATAGTGACAGGACAGGGCAGTCTTTCTTTCCTCGTGCCATCATAAATGCTGTATTTAAAGTCTATGTAACAGTCTTGGAGTTAGAGAGTTCATATCTGCCTTATAATGACAAGACTTTACTGGTGCATAGTGTCTGTGCATTATAACAAATTGCGCAACAGCCTTTAAAAAAGTGTTTAACATGTGTGACTGAAACAAAACACAACTCCAGGTATGCTTTTGATGTGGAAACATAGCTCAGAAATGGCATAATGTTGGCCCTAAAATGCTCAAGTTATTGAAGCTGTGGCATATGTGTAGGGTAATACTTGCTCGCTAACTTTTCGTATTGGGTTAATTTGTTTAAAGGGATAATGTATCTTCAATCAAGCTCACTGGCTAGTCCCCATGACATAGGGTCCTCTCCAGAAAGCATCTAGTGACTCACATTTTGTAACTGCCTGCATATAATATTGTACTGAGAAAGCTTGAAAGGACTGACTGTTAAGTAATGTAGTATTTAATTTCCTTTTTGATTTATTTTTAGATGACTCCATCGCCGCCTTTGCCAGTGTCTCTGTCGCTGGAAGACTCGGAGCTGCTGTCCTTTTACTCTTCTCAGAGTCTAGCCCATCTATCCTGTCTCGCAGATGCCATAGATGTGCTGTTTAGTAGTGTACAAGGGAACCAGCCTCCCCGTATATTTGTTGCTAGAGGGAAGAGTCTTATTGTGACCGCACATAAACTAGTGTTTATAGGTGACACCCTTTCTCGACTCCTTTCCTCTGCAGATCTACGCGCTAAGGTGTGTAGAAGCACTTGGTTTATTGCATGCCAAAACAAAGAAGTGTAAATACATGTTTTTTCTTCCTAATTTCAGATTACGACTTCAGGTGGTAGACTTTGTCAGGCCTTAAAAGCTGTTGTGGTGGCGACCAAGGGAGCAGCACAAAACTACCCATCAGTATCTGCCACTCAGGAAATGGTGGATTGTGTAGCTGAACTCTCACAGCACGCGGCTGGATTTTCCACTTTGCTTCAGCGTCTGGCAGAAATATCATCGTAATAGAACTATTTTACTTTTTAAGGTGTTTTTTAAAGGTGCATTGTGTAACTTTTTGTTATTGCGTTGTATGGAATGTTTTACAGTATGGCATTAAACCTTACCAAGTATAAGTATCTTTGACCTATAAAACCATCGGTAATTGGATAAATGTAAGGTAGGGCTGTTTAATGTCATACTATGAAAGATTCCAAGCAGAGTAGTGATATTTCCATAGAAATAAGCAGGTGATGGACCACCAACAAAAAGTTACATAGTGCACCTTTAAGGGGTCAAGTTACAGTGAAGAAGTTTTAACTGATCTTTCTTCACTGTTTCCAATGTGTGGTTCTTTGCCTCTGTTTATAAGATCAGTGTGCTTTGATGCCAAACTTGTGTCTTTTTAGTGTTAACTTATTCAGTATGTTTTTCATTGTACAGTTAAGCTTTGCCATTTTTCTGTTTGCAATTATTTCCTTTCACGTAACATTTTCTTCCTTTCTCTATTTATTTAGCTGTGGTATGTGCTCTAAAAATGGCAGAAAATGAGGCCTGATATCCTAACTCCTAGCACACTTGTTTCCTGCAATGCCTGAATGGCCTTTCTTAATTTTGTGTAAAATAGAAATGAAGAGTCCCTAGTTTGTGTTTCACATTTGGCATGTAAAGATTTGTGAAGTACAGATTAATCATACATTTATAATCTCAAATCTACAATCCATATAACACCCAGTGACAAAGAGAGTAGTGATCATTTACTGGAAAATTGCCCAATCCTCCTCTTTCCCACGATCATATGCTAGGTTAACACATAACAAACCAGTCTCCCAGGTCCAGTTGTCTGAACATGTCTGTTGTAACTTTCCTCATCATTTTGTTGTTGGCAAAGGAGAAATTAGTTTTGTCAACTGGACAAACTAACTTGTTTGCAGTTTCTGGTTTTGCAGCTCATCCAAGCTGCTTCTTCAGTTCTGGTCAGACACTGGTGGACACAGAAATGTTTTCGACCTAAATAAACGTTTGTCCAGCTGACAAATTGAATTTCTCCTTGCCATGGATTCTGCCTGGATGACTGAGGGATTCTACACACATTTTGTTGTTGGTTAATTTGTACTAAACAGAGATAAGACCTAACTGCCACATAGGGCCTGCATTAATACATTTTTCTTTATTATTTACAAAATTACAAACTGTAACTGTAACTGAAAACCCTACACACTACACTTGAACTACGCAAAGATAACCTGTGATGGTTTCTGCATTGTTGCAATATCAAATCCTTAGGAATTATTTTAATGTTGTGTTTTTCATGTTTGAACACATGACTTTTATGCTGTTATGTCCCTGTTTACAATATTATGCCACCTAGTGTTGGAATTGAGTATTACCTTACTCTTAATATCGTGACTACAACATTTCTGCCATTGTTTAGTTGTGCTGTAGAATTTTGTGGGGAGTTTGTGGCTGTCCTGATTGCATGGCTTTGTTTTGCTTTGACTTTATACATCCCAGAGTTTACAAAAACGAGTAACATTTTTAAAGCTGCAAAATTTTTTACACCTTGTACATTTGTTTTATTGACTGAGGTAACACTTTTTTACAGTGATGCAAACCAAGCACTACATGGAAAATTATTTCTTTTACTTTGGTTAAGATTGCACAATGCATTTTCGCAAATAAAAAAATATTTGAATGTTGGTGTGTTACATATATTATAACTGCGATATGGAGGCTCGGGAATGCCGAGTCTGTCCGAAAAATACCGAGTTGTGACGCTCGGCAGCAGCCGTAGCGACGCTTGGTGGACAAGCTGAGGGAGCAAAATGGCGGACGACGATATAACGCTTGATGGGAAACCTCTACAATCGCTCCGTGTAGCGGATTTAAAAGCTGCACTGGAGCAAAGAAATCTACCCAAAACTGGACAGAAAAATACGCTCATAAAGCGACTAAAAGGGGTAAGTTTTCGCTCATAAAATCGCCTCTGTCGAGACTTGCTAAGTTCAGCAGGAGGCAATAGACATCGGGGGGGTTAACGTTAGAGGCCGTAACTGTGATAAGCTTGAAGCGGGAATACATAAATTGTTAAGTATGTGCTATCACACACGAGCAACATTCTGAGTCTGTATTTATTACGACAACACCGCTCAACTCATAGCCGCTATTGTGAAGTATAGGGCTGTAATAACACAGTGCAATGTGTTGCACACTCAGTAATGTGCACCTGTCAGATGTAGGCCTGTTAAACGGACTGCGCACACAGTGTACAGACCATAGACTGCACAGACCAGAGCACAGACCAGGACACAGACACTGAGACCGCGCACTGCACGAGGACGCGCCTCATGGAGTAAACACATTTTGCATGTTTCGTGTTTATTATTGCGGAGGAACATTTATTATACCGTTTGTTGCTGTTAAGCGTGACTTCACTTCACACGCTCAGTATCCAATGCATTCATTGTACACTCTAGATCTGTCACATTGCTGTAGAAAGTACCAGCGGCAGTATTTAAACTACTTTATACCACGGACAAAGAAAGATCATCAATGTGAGGTACATGCGACTGCGTTCGTCTGTCACCTTTTTACAAACTTGATAAAGTAAAACTTGCGACAGGCCCATACACACGGACGATGACAGGCGTCAGGTCACATGATTTGGTTATATTCAGAGAATTTGTTTGGAGGGGGAAAAAGCAAACCTAAGTCGAAATGTCAACACGGGCAATGTGAAGTTCTAAGCAACACACTTTGATCATATCTATATATTTTTTATGACTGTGTGATCCACATATATGAGTCTAATTTGCATCTCCTTTCTCTCCTCATTTTCTATTTTTCTTCAGGCTCTTATGTTGGAAAACCTACAGAAGTCTTCTTCTCATGGTGGGATACAGCCCAATTCCCAGGTTAGAGTGTTTCCTTGCTACTAATTGTTTTACCTAACATGTTTAAAACAGTGCTGTTGATTAGTCATTGTCATTTTTAAATCCATAGATTGGAGAGGAGATGAGCCAGAACAGCTTCATAAAACAGTATCTGGCCAAACAACAGGAGCTTCTCCGTCAGAAACTGGAGAGAGAGGCACAGCTGGAGGAGGAGGAGATGGATGGTATGTGGATATATTTATGTAATATTCCATAAAAAAAAAAAAAAAAAAAACATATCGTAGGTTCATGACAGTTTTTTGTATGCTCTTATAACAGAATGCCACACTGGGGAAGAAAAGGATAATTTGTTGGAAAATCCTGCTTATGACTCAAAGGTAAGAGGGAATTGACAATGCTTATTACATTTGAATACATTCTCAAAATTTGAATACAGAATTTCTCAAAATTTACATGCTGTATACCACATTAATATTTTCCTTTATTTACATATCAGCGTTCTTTGGCCAGGACAGAAGAAAGGCAAGTGGGGGAATCATTTGGTCATGGTCTAATGGCTTTTGGTTCTGGAGACAGTGTACACGGTCTTCATGGTTTGGAGCCTCCAGGACCTGTGTTTCAACGTTTTTATCAAGGTCAGCAGGAACTTCCAGCACCTTCTCCACCTCGTGCTGTGGCCTCTGTCTGTGCGTGTGCTGGGGGAGCCCGATTGCCAAGGACTCCCTCCTGCTGTGCCCCGGATCCAAGAGAAGGCAAACACTGCCCCCAGTGACCCAGCTCCACCCGCGTTCCACCTGAGCCGTTCTGCTGGGCTCACAGCATCCGCAGCCCATGAGGACAGTGACGAAGGGGACGCGAGCGATGATGACAGTGATGACGATGACTGGGGTCCCGCATCATCTCGAAGGAGCAGCAGAGTCGCTCCCCAGCCGCAGCCCCCCAGTGCTGCTGCAGCCTCAGGTCGATCCAAACGAAAGCTTCAGCCTCCACAGCACATCCCTCCCCCCCAGCTTCAAAGCCCACTCCAGCTACGACACCCCACTCCACCTCCCTCTCCTCCACCAAATCTTTTCCCCCTCCCTGACACCCCAAAGCAGAGTCCACCTGATGCTGATCCGCCCTCAGGAGAAAGGGAAAAGGGGGGCGCTCTTCCGTTGGCTGCTATGCAAAGGCAGGACTCTGACACCAGCTCACGGTCCAGTAGCCCTGAGCCTCCTGCACAGCGCCGCCCTGGGCCCTTGTCTCTACTGGTGCACAAGATGGAGTCAGAACAGGCACTGGATGAGACACAGTCCACCTCAGCTGCTGATATGTCAGGAGAGGAGTCACAGCCTCTCGCTGGGTCTGACAACACTGTGGCTGTCAGTAAATCCTCACTGCACAGGCTGGATCGTAAAAAAGAACAAGAAAGCACAGAAAAGAGAAAAGGAGAAGAAGATGTGGGAAAAAACAATTATGATAAAAATGAAGATCAAGGTTTCCATTTGTCAAGAAGGCAGGAGGTACCAGACACCAGCTCTGCTAAAATCATGCCTGAAGCCCAAGATTCTGATTCATCATCGGATTCTGACTCGTCTTCGCGCTCATCACCTGAAATAATGAACAAACCAACCAGGCAGCAAAAGGTGTGTAACTAAGTTATATAGACATGACTTTTCTGCACTATTGTACATGAGTTTCTAATAATGTAATCACATTTCTGAGTATAGGAGGCACACCAGCGACAAAGGAAGGATGAGTTTGCAGAGTCTGAAAAGCACCTCTGGAAGGGGTAAGTAAATATGTTTACACAAAGCAAAGTTCAAATTGGCCCTGCTTGTAATAATGATTTACAAACATGAAGAGTTGTGTTGCATATTATTCCCAAAATGCTTTGGTGACCATGGACTGTTTGCAGTTCTGCCATGTTGATGTTGATTTGATTCCTGGACTGTTGAGTTTTTTCTGTCAGTTTGCATGTCCTCCCTTGGTCTTGCTGAGGGCCAAATAGGTTCTGAATATCCACACATATATCAAAGGTTTTCATATTTGTTCAAATTATGACTTGGTTAGTGCCTATGGTAAATATTTATCATAGTTTTACATCAGTTAAGTGTCAGTTTGTGGGAAAAAAGTTATGAAGAAAGGTAAAAAAATACAAGTAGTGCTAAGTTCGAATATTACCTCTATCTGTGTAATCATAACTATTGATTGATTGGGATCCAGAATACACACTTCTTCAATACTTTATGAAGATGTGAGTGGTTTCTGGTCTCTGTTTTCAGATGGATGTGATTGACAGGTGGATTAGCCAATTGGTGACACCATCTTTCCATATTGGAAAAATAAAAGGGAAAAAATATCAGGACACTGAAAACATTGCTTATTTCTGCAGAATCAATGAGCCAAGTATTAAACTATGTTAATTAAATCTGAGGTGAGAGAAATTACATTTTATTTGTAAATTATATGTGAACAATGAGATCCTTTATTGCACAAGCATCACTGAAAAAAACAAACAAAAAACATTTCAGATTGGACAACTGCGTTTTGCTGTGCTTGAGACGTGCAGGAGGAAGTGGGGATCAGACTGATATTCTTTTATTTTTATTTATTTATTTCAGTCACAGGTATATTTTGACATTAATTCACAATCATATTCATCTGTATAACACTGAGTGATATCATGGATTTGCCAAGCAAAACTACTGCATAAATTACACAAGTTTGGCCTTTACAGTAAGAGGTACGAGGTATGGCATTATGGAATTACTCATGTCATATTTGCTGCTGGTGTCAAACCAGAAAGTAAAACGATAGACTACAAAAAAAAGATTTTTAGTCAAATATATAATGCTGTTAACTAGGTTTTAGTCAAGTAGTCTAATCTGCCATAAGCACATTAATGTAACATTCTTTATCAACTGCAGTCTGTTAAATACATAAGTTTGTATTAAAGTGCAGTCATGCATACTCTAGTTTTCTACTTTATCATTACTAACCTGTTAATTATTAAATTGCTTAAAGAAAAGACAATGGCTAATTACTACGTTTTTATTGATATAGAAACCCGAATTTCAGTGCTTATAAACACGAAATTATATATTTTTTTTCAATACATTTTTTCCACTGTCTTAATCACAGCGAAGGATTTCCTTTAGATTTCCTCTATATTTTCTCTCCCACAGCAGAAGATTTTTTCATGACGCAATGTAAGTGTTCACGTGAGCGTGCTTTTATAGTGAAATGCCGCGCGGAACTGGATCTCACTGTGGCGAACGTGACTCCGGTCTCTGCAAGCCAACATGGCCGTCATGCATGCGTTGCATCCCTGATACCGACGCAGTGTACGCGAATCAGCAGTAGACACAAACGTGACCGGTTTTTTTATTCCGCGTTCCCGATTTTAACCCACAATTATCCAGAGTCATTGTCGCGAAGAGGAGTCCTTCTCCCTGCGTGGTTTCCTTTCACCCTGGGCGTTATGCTGTCTGAGGGCAACAAAAACGGGTAAGAATGAACCAGAAGGCGGCACAAGCCTTCAAGTATCTGCCTGTAGTTTTCCTAAAATCAACTGGCCTGCATTCGCCGGTGTTGCTCGACGTTACATACCAAGATGGCAGCTGCATGTACATTATCCATGAGTTGGCTGGCTGGATCTCCATAAAACTACAACATTATGCCATGTTCTGTTTGTGAGAGCGTTATATGCTCGTCCATGTGAGGTGCGCGAGAGGAGCCTTTTGTTGGGTGCAACAGCAGACAAGAATTTTCGGGGGAAGAAATCTTACTAGTTCCTGGTAAATTATCAGATTTGCCACTATTTTTTACCCATAATGTTAATTATCAAGGATTCTGTGAAAGACTGGAGAACTGACTTTGTCTTTTACTCAGGTGTCTGAAAATGGTTCAGATTGTTGTAGACATGCAGGTATTTCACTCATAATCTCCTAGTGATTATTAATGAAAATGCGGTAAACTGTATTTTTAGGTTGTGTGTCTGGCTGTAGCTGGTAATGATCTCTCGGTTGTCAGGGGAGATCATTAAAGCAGACATCTGTTAGTTGTACAGTCAGTGTGAATGGGCCCTTATGCTGTGATATCACTCATGTCCCCTGGGAGCGAGTGGGAGACGTTTCTTTTGCTTTGTGAATGTTTGTTGTTTTATTTAATTTCAAGTGCAAAATCAGAGCTTAACAACTTGAATTGCCTTCTAACATAAATGTCATGCAGACACATAATTGTATTTACTGATGTTGTTCACTCTTTAGTTTGCATCAAAACATTTGTATTTAGCTCACTATCAAGGTGCGTCTTTGGTACAACTAGCCAGACCTTATCCCCCACATCAAGGGCAAGAAAGGTGACGCAGAGTTGAGACCTGTTTGCCCATTTTTAAATCTTAAAGTGAGGGTACAATTCTGCGTCAGTTCAATTTACTCTACTGAATCCCCACTAATGGTAGTCTTAGAGCTGGATCACTTTTACGGTTTTTGCCATTGTAACGGATACAATGTAAAGCTAACTGCTTGTAGCACAATTAGCTTGTGGGCAGTCTCATTCTCTCCTTCTGTTTTTGAAATATTACAGTAATCAAATGAGAAGAATTGCTTTTATGATCTGCATCAACATCATGGATGAGACACATGTGTTATCAGCTATTATAAACATGACAAGATGGACTGTGGGTGACCCTGGGTGTCAGTTCTCTTCTGAGGTATTTATAGTAAGAGTGACCCAGATCACAGGTCTTTCACTGTTCTCCTGTCTTTGCTTGTTCTGTACATCACGCGCATTGTGGATTGTCCTTATTTTCCATGAGTACGTGAAATGGATTCATTAAACCAGATGCCTGAACTGATGAACATATGTTTGTCCATGTTTTGCTTTGTTCTGTAGTGAGGTGTCAGAGCCCAGTGCAGCGGCTGTCACTGAAGAGGAGCCAGACTCTGAGAGCTCCATGGCTTTGCCAGCGGCGTCTGGGGCAGAGCCAGAGAACAGTGAGGGTCCTGTGGAGGAGGTAAGCTCACTGAGGGAGTGGGATGTTCAGGTATTTGTTCAGTCTGTCACACTAACCTGTGTCCTCCTCCTGTACATCTCTGCATGTTCTTCACACTTAACCCATAGAGGAATCAAAAACCAACACAGCCCAAACATTATACACCAAACCATACTAAATAAGGACTTCTTTACATGGTTTTGTGTGTCTCAAGATTGGCTCATGATTATATTTCATTCATCTGAAAATAATATGTCCATTTATTTCTAAATATATAAAATATAGGACAATGTTGCAGGTGATTGGGTTGTGTTGCATCTGGGACCTCAAGACATTTAACTTTTTTTTTAATACATTATACTAAAATAATAGTTAGTGTTAGTTCATTTCATACATATTTCTGTTTTGGCTGTGTGTATTGATGTTGAGTGCTGATATAGCTTGTGGTTGTTGAACCACCCCCAAATTTCACTGCCTGTGCATCTGCTCCTTTGCACTTCGGCAGGTACTGTACTACAAATATGATCCTGTTGTACTGAATGGGAGTTTTTCCACAGCCGGCTCATATCTGCCAATGCAATGACATTCATTGTACTCAGTGCAGGTCGCAACTCTGGGACTCTAGACCACAGTTTGGTGACATCTGTTTTTTCAATGATTTAATTTTAATCAGACAATTAAAGGTAAATGCTCTTCAAGACAACTTAAAATTGGAGTAAAAATAATGATACATAAAGTGGTGGCCTAAAGTTTTTTAGGCACAGCATCTGCAAAAGATCTGAAGGATGAAGAGATGAGGGCAGCCCGGTGAAATTTCGGATTTTAAATTGTGTTGACTGGAGTGCATGCTTTGTGGGCCTGCGCAGACACAAGGGGCTGTTAAATTAATGCCGCTTCAAATGATTTGCAGATCAGTCACTAATATGTTTTTTCTACTAAGGATTTAGTGCAAATATTTAGGACACAGCATTAGAATTTTTCCTAGCCAATTTGTGAAAGACTACTTAGCTAGTCCCATTTTTCTTCTAAATTGATCCACATACTTAATACATTTCTAGTTTCGTGTTATGTGTGCACTGTGCTAGAATGTGGTCTCACTGGTGTGGGACCTGTAGAATCTGTTATCTGTTAGAGCTCTGAGGCTGGAGAATGTACTGTGCGTGCATGATACGTTTTTCTTTACAGTCTGCATGAGAAATGCACCCTCACACCACATGGAGGGCTGTTTCTGTTCATTTATATACTCTATCTCTCTGAATTCACTTTGTCTTGTTCACTATCTGCCTTCTTTACCCCTATCCTCCTCTGGCTTTTGTATCCCCTCATGAACACCTCTCACTATATATTTTATGGTGTGACTGCTGTTTAAAACCCCACTGATTGCTTTGTTATGAAGGTGCCCATGCCTCTTCCATTGCCCCTAATGGTACCTGCTGCGTACTACTTCTACCATCACCACCAACACGATCACCTCCTCCACTCCTCTTCCTACTCCTACAAGTCCTGTCTCGCTTTGCCCGATCGCAGCGCTGGTACCTGAGTTTAGGCCTGTTTGAGAAACGCTGAACCAGCAGGATGTGCAGCTCTCATCACACCAGCGTCAGCAGCTACAGGGGCCGCCATGGCAACTGCAGCAGCGCACAGTTGTCATGGAAACCAACACTGGCCACGGAAGCCATCATTGCCTTTTGTGAACTGAACTATGTCTAAAATAAGAACTCAGAACATGTCTATCAAAGGCCCACGTCCTCATTCTGGAACTTTCCTTCCTGTAAAGCATTGCTGCCCTCTGTAGGTGTGATGGAGAAAGGACAACAAGGACTCCTTCATAAATTCTATTGGATCAAAGTGGACTATTATTCATAAGAATCTGGACACATAAAAAGACTGTAATTAGCTTAACTTGTCTTGATTAAAAAGCTGGCCGCAGTTTGTTAAGGGACCACTGGATTCACTACTTCGGTGATTGGAGGCACTGTTACAAACTTGGACTCTTTGCCACAGAAAATGTTTTTTCTTTCAGTGGACATGTCAAGATGAACTTTTTTTTCTGATTCTAATTCAATCTGCCTCTGCATATTTTTTTCTGAAGGCCAGCCAGAATGCCTGAGTTGATATTTTCTGGTTTTATTGGATCACAAGAAAATAACAATTTCTCATGGATTGTTTTACTTTGCTGAAAAGAACCCGCTCAGGCCTATGCTGTTACATGTTTGGACACTACAACTTTTAACATCTGGACATTAACTGGAGTTTGTGGTCATGGAAGTGTACACATGCTTTCCATAAAGACTTGAAAGAGACTCTTAGACCAACAGTGAATGAGAAATGCTGACCCCCTGCTGAAAAAGTCAAATCAAGAGATCAGTTCCTGTCTGCTGACCATTCTGCACACTCAAACCAAGCCCCGCCCATTCCTCTGCCTTGACTGATTGGATCCATGTTGCCTAGATACAGTGCACAATGACGTGCGGTGGGCCATAGTCGAGCCAGTAAGGAATCAGGTGTTAAATGGTACCAGGATATGACTTATTCCTATAATATACATTTAAATACAATAATACTGTGAACAACTTTCATATATTCTAAAGTCCCCTTTGCACTTTTAAAATGTTTCATGTCAAACATTTTCACACAATTTGGGTTTATAGAAATGTAAAGGATTAATTTTGAAACGTGAATAATGCTAAATACTCAGATCTAAGGATGTACATTGAGGCTTTTCACCTCTGCTCATTGATTATGCTCAAACATATCACATGACAAATAAAACATAAATAATGCATAGCACATAATATTGTGAATAGACATGTGTACCAAGTAGACTTGGTCAGACTTGTAATATGTATTTCAACTGCTTTTGCACAGACATGCACATGCTTAAGAATTTAACCAGGCTGGATTTACGATTGAACTATCATCCAGCCATGGAGCCTCATGTATATGCATCAACAATGCTCATTAGCTGAGGCCATTCACATAAAAGGTGACAGAGTTGTAAATAAAATCATTGCTTTGTCTAAGTTTGAACACCTCATCAGCTGATGGTGTTCGACTGACACTGGGAGTCCCAGGTCCAGAGCTGAGACAGACTCCTCCTGGAGCATTGTCCCTTGAAGTTGCTTTGTTTCCATTTTTCTGGATTTGGATTCAAAGTGAAAAAATAAAAGACCAAAACATACATATTTTAGCCAACAACTCACTGAGCTTCCTTTTAGCTCCTTGATGTCTTGACTGTGAGTAAAGATGCTATTGTGTGTAACTATCCCAGAGAAAGAAGCAGCTCAGTAATCTGGGCTCCTTTGAGCAGAGGTGGAAGGCGGAAATGTGTCTGAGAGTCTTATCGACCAGTAAATGTTAGGTTAATATGGTTCAATAGGAACCTGCTGGGCTCTTGTTACTCCCCTGCCCCTCCCTCCTCCACTGTTCCTGCTTCACTCGTATCTGTGCTAATGTGTGCAACTTCAGGCTCTGATCTTGCCCCGCACCCGTGGGGTTTCTGTATGTTCTCTCTGTCTTTCTCTGTTTCCAGAGCACCACTCCGAAGGCTTTTGCTGCCAGAAAGATCTCCCTAACTAGTAAGTTATGCTGATTTTAATTACTCCTCAGGCGCAGTGAAGACAACTGTACATCTAATGTGCTCATCCATCTGCAGTACTTGTTCTGTAGGGTATTAGTTTATGACTACAGGTCAAACATCCTTTAAACTGCCTCATATATGCATTTATATACATGCAAATGTGGCTACTGTTAAAAAGTGTAACAGAAACATTTGTATTGTAATTATGGCTCTGACTGAACTGCAGGTAACAAGATGTCTCCAGCCAGTGCTGAACGAGGAGCGGGGGACACTGAAGCGGCAAATGCAGGAAGGAAGAGGCGATGGGGATCCAGCACAGTGGCCACTGCCAAGAAGCCCTCCATTAGCATCACCACTGACTCTCTCAAGGTATCACAGAAACACTGTAATATAATCTCTATATATTATATGGTGCTGAAAATTTCCAGTCTTAGTCATAATCTAGTACTGTTAGGGGTATTTTACTTATCTTTCTTTAAAACTGTAATATTTATATGTATATGTGTGTGTGTCTCAATTCAGTCCTTGATCCCTGACATCAAAGTGAACCAGGAAGCTGTGGTGGACCTTCCTGCAGAGGAGCTTCAGTATTCTGGAGATGAAGACACGATGGACAGCGCCCATGATGACCAGGACAATGGCCTGAAGATCCAACGCACAGTCACACAGGCAAGAAGGCTGTCTCCAAATACAATACTTATACTTAAAAATAGGGCTGTCATGATACTAAAATTTCAAATTCAGTTTCGATACTAAGAAGCAGATTCAATACTCAATACAGATTCTGATACCAGAATAATAAAAAAAACTTTATTAGACAGTAGAATTGTCAACATTAAATACTATTTTCTTTTATATTACCATGTGGTGTTATTGATATTTTGCAGTGACATCATGCTAGAGGTGTTCTATATGTATGTGTATTGGCAGAATGTTCCATCAGTTACCATGGAGACACAAAGCAGCAAACGCTGTCAAATAAGCTGTGAGATTGTCTGAACTCAAGAAAAAAATGCTTTTAAACAACACATTTTCAGAAGCCTGTGATCAATACGAGTGCTCATGGTCCTGTTTGGGTTTTTTCATTTTCAACAAAAACTGTGAGAGTGACTAACT